CGCCTCTTGAAATGTCCTCTTATGAAAGACTCTAGGCTTTTCACACTCTAGCCTTTGTCCCCCCATCTGCGTCCTTGGCTTTGTGCTATTGTGGATGCGGAGGTGGGTTGGCTGTAGACTAGTAGAGTACAGCAGGGCATCAACATCGACAAACCATTGACAAAAAAAAAAAAAAGTCCAACATTCGCCCATGCCCTCGGTTTTCCTACAACAAACTACAAACCACAAGCCACTACTTCTACAGCTCACTCTGCAACAGACTCTCCATTATATCATCTTCCGTCACAAGGTGCGCCCTACGCTGACGCAGCGTGAGAGTATTTTCCTCCGGGAGATCGTCGTCGTCATCGTCTTCATCATCGTGCGGTTGGTCTTGCTCGGCGTCGGCCTCCTCGTCGTCTTCTTCGTCGTCGTCTTCGAGCGGCATGCGTGTGCCTTCGCCCTGCATGCCGGCGAACATGGTTGTGTCTTCTGGATCTGGATCTGCTTCGCCATCCATACGACCAGCACCATCATCGTCCTCGTCCCCATCATCGCCATTGCCAAGCTCCGTCCCATCCACACTAGCTTCGACATGTCCATCTTCATCCGCCTCCTTTGAACCCGCCCTCCGCGTCCCAGATCCAACTGCAGACCCGGCATCCCGCAAACCGTCGAGCACAGCACTCGGCTCGCCTTCGCCTCCCTGCTCTAGCGTCGTCACCTCGCGCTCCACCTCGCCCAGACGCTTCGTCAGCGTAGCGTGTAATTTCGCAAGGCTGTTGCGCTGAACGGCGTCAGTCCCGAGTCGCGCTTCCACGGCCTCGGTAACCAGGACATGCAACTCGTTCAATGCCTCTGCCTCTGCAGACCCATCTCGCTCGCCCCCGGCCCGTCCAGCCATCGCGTTGCTACTCGGTGAAATGTGCAACTTGCCCAGGAGCGAGAGCAGTGGTTTCCGCTCCTCCTTGGTACACGTGCTCGTGAGCGCGCGCTCGAGGACTGCAATCGCAAGCTGTATATGCGGTTCCTCTGCCTCTGCGCTGGTGCTGGTTTTGCCGTCGAGGCCGAGTTCCGTGGCACCTACGACTTTGCGGCCGTCGGTCCATTCAGCTAAGTGGGCGGTGATGACGGGCCAGCCGACCATTTCATCCGCGTCGTCCTCCTCCACGTCCTCCTCGCGCATGAGCAGGAGTTTGGAGAGGATGGGGACCGTCATTTGGGCCATGATGTGTGCGTTCTTGAGCTTGGAGTGGCAGAAGACGGGCAGGAAGTAACTGAGTGCCTGTCGAAGGGCTGGATTTGCGGCCGTTTCTGGGTCAAAGTAGGTGGACACAAAAGCTTTGAGAATTTCGGCGGTTGGGGCGGGGGGTAAGATGCCGAGGAGGAGCAGCTTGGAGGCTGCTTCGCAGGCGATGAGGCTGAGGCGGTGCGAGTCGGATGCAAAAGCTTTGAGGAGGATTTTTGTGACGGGCCGGAGGCGCGGATTGACAATGGGTTCTGCGTCTTCGGTGGTGGCGTCTGGGTCTTCGACTGTGGGAGTAAGCAATTGGGGGTGGGTGATTAAGACGTCGGCCAGGACTTGGAGGACAATCTCCTTGAGACTCTCGTGGCCCTTGATGAAGCAGTGGAAGAAGAGGTCGAGGTTGGACTCTGCAAGATCCTGCTGTTTATTAGTGATTGCATCCGGTAACGCCAAGTCTAGTTACTTACTCTGCTCAAGAGTGCTGCCAGTCCTAGGCAAATGACTCCACGCTCTCGGAGATTAGCTTGGTGAGCCTGAACCGCCGGTATGATAAGCGTGTTCAATATATCCTTCAGGTGCGAGTTTGACTCTAAATCACAGTGTACATTCTCCAGCGTACACTGCGCAATATGCAAGCATTTCGAATGGACCAAGACCTCGCGCGTCTGGCGTTCGAGCTCTTCCTCCTCCGTCAGAACCTTGCCATTCGCACCTCGCGGCTTGATCAAAGGCGCATCACCATCGACATCAGACTGAGCAGAGTGGAAACTCTCTTCCTCGTCGCCATTGCCCATGGCCTCGTCATCACCGTCTAGCAAGGTGTCTCGTACTTCAGCAATTGCCTCGACAATCAGAGCGCAAAAATCCGACTCGCCACGTACTCCACACACTATGCGCAGTACTTCAATGGCGAGCTTTGTGCATTCTTCCGGAAGTTGAGCCTTTGCAATCGCCTCGCGAGTGATGTTGTACACTTGTCGCCGGCCGACTTCGTCAGTGTAGTCGAGTGTTTGTGCAATGTGGAGCATTTGTTGTACCACAAATTCCTTCTCATCGTGATCTTCCTGTACCTCATCAAGCTCTGGGTCATCTTCGTCAAGCAACATGGCCTTGGTCGTGAGGTCCATGAGAGAACGAAGTTCTTTCTGCAGCACAAAGGCAAACGATGTGATTACAGGCAGTTTATTTTCGATCATTTCCTTGATGCTGCCGTCCTCGGTGCTCTGAGCATAGTCGTTCAGACTGCGTACGATGAAGGCAGTCTGTGCGTCCAGGTTATTCCAGTAATCATGGTTGAAAGAAATGTAGTCACGGTAGTCCGGGCGGCATTCCCAGAATCGCTTCATTGCTTCGTGTGCAATACCCTCTTCCTCGCCAGAGCGTATGACGTCGATTCGCTCGAGGAGCTCGCAGAGTGCATCTCCCGGGTTTCTGATACTGGGCCATGAGCTATGGGGGGGTCATC